CTACATTCCAGTTCTTCCACACAAAAATAAATAAGTAAATATTACTTAAAAAAAAGGTAGATTTCTGGGACTTGTTTTCATAGATTGTAATTCATTTGGTTTGTAGATAAAATTTAGAAATCTGATTTTTTAGCATATGCTTACAGAAGACATTTAGGAGGATATAGGGGATCTAGTAGGTACTGGGGAATCTAGGAAACCAGTTGAAAAACAAATTTAGCAACCTACAGGGTAAACTGAAAAATATTGGCATATAACAAGCCCATATGTCCATGCATCTTAATCCATTTAGGTACAATGTATATTATTACTGACATAGTCCTTCTATTTGCAACATAAGTAATTTGCAGACTGAAGTCCTTAATAATTCAATGGTTTTTAACCATGGTGACATGACACAAAGTTTGTTACAGTCAGGTTTTAGGTGTATTTAAAAAATTATTAATGACATTTAAGGAAAATCAGTTACTTTAAACAAACAAGTTAGAGCAATTCAAAGTTATCCTAATAATAATAGCATTCCCACTTACTTGAAATTTGACACACTTTGCCCAATGGAAGGGGAAGAAGAATCAGAGCTGTAGTGCTTCAAGAATGTCACCGTCACTATGGCCATGAATGGTCACTGCTTTTAGTGAAGAACCATTTATAAACATGTAATGATGAATTGTATCAATTTATTTCCATTGGAATATTATACCTTGGTTTTGGAAAATTCTGTTCAAGTATTAATGTGAGTCCTAAATGTCAGTGTCACTGGTTATATGTCAACTTTCTCTAATGTGGAGAAAAATAAGAAAGGTTGCACACAAGTTGCAGCCATTTTGCAACTGCTGCAAATTCACAGCTTTACAAAGGTCACGCTGAAAGAGGAGGATCACGGTTCCTGGTTTGGTGGTGCACAGGAGCATGCCCACCTTTGCTCTGGGTCCCCTTTACCAACCAGGTGCAGTGGAGTGTGCCTGGCTGTGCTGTGGTCTGGCCCAGCCACTGGTTGCAGTGGAGTGTGCCTGGCCCCTCCCCTGTGCCTACAGCCACACCCAGCGCTAGACAGCTGACCCCGGGGTTTCCTGTGGGTTTTGAAACCCTTGCCAGATTTGAAAACGCACTAATGAGATTTGAAACCTGCACCACTGTTGGGAGCAAGAGGAGGAGCAAAGGGACCATTTTGAAAGACATATAAGCAGGGGAGTGGGTGGGGATCAGACACTCTTGCCTAGGAAGACCTTCCCCCTTTGATCTCCGACTAGTCAAAATTCTCACCTGGAAGACCTTCACTTCAGATCTCTGATTCATTGAACACTCCCACCTAGGAAACCCTTCGTTCTGATCTCTGACTCATCCCTTTGTATCATCACTTGCTGCTCCTGCATGATCAGCACAGCCTCCTGATCACCACTCCAGCACAATTGGTGCCAGTTATCAGAGACATCTGCTGTCCTCCAGTGTGTGATCTTAACACTGCCTGATGACTGGTGCTGCTGGCCTATACCTAGTGTCTCTAAGAGCTATCCACTATCTGGGGTAGGATCGATGGCCATTTACAGCCTTAGAAACTTTTTTTTTTGATCTCTCAATATCCCCCTAGTTAATAAGCCCTGTTGTTGTTACACTCTGTGTTTGAGTGGTGCCGTGCAATTGGAAGCACACAGGTGAGGACTCACAAACCATGCCATTCCCCACATTTGCACAGTTTCAATACCAAAAACAAAATAACAAAACTGTAGTTTGAAACTCTCACACAAAGAAGTTAACACTATTTGTATTTGAAACTGATCACAAGATAATAAAATATGGATGGGATCATTGTTTATGAAACAGAGCACAAGATAATAAAATATGGATGGAATCATTGTTTTTTCAACAGAGGGGAAGAAACTATGAAAATAATATTTGCTTCACAGACATCTTAAGTAATCAACAATACAACAGATTCCCCCTCCCGACACACTTTCGGTCTAATAGCCTTGATTTGTGTTTCTAACCAGTTAATTAGAAAAACAAAATATTCTTGTCTTACCAAATTTATATCTTTAAATAAAACATACATAAATGTCACAAAAATTGAAATAGGGCAGATTTATGGAGATTTTCTCAAGCCTTCCAGGAATCTCCTCTACCACTGATAATCTGCTTTCGAGCAATCTGTATTTGTTCTTGATTGTTCAGTGGAATTGTTTCTTGTGGTCTTTAAATAATGAGTAATATTTTCCTGTCACGTGTAGAATGTTTATGTCTTTCTAGAGTCTAATTGTTTTCTGATTTCTCTTTCTCCTTGCAATTGTGTTATATTCCACTGTCTGAGAATTTACATAAAACTCCTGCCGGGGTAACCCAACCCTGTTCCTTAGAAACAATTGGAAAAATGAAAACAACAGAAACAGCAAATTCTAATATCTCTGTAAATCTAGACAAAAAACATTTTAGGAAAATATAAACTGTAAATGCTCTGAGGTCACTAATAAAGTTGTGAAATTGTGAGGAATGTGGGAGGAGAGAAGTCGTTTTGTTATTTGCTAGATTTACAGGCTCTAACTCTTCAGTTCCCTTGTTGAGCTTTAACTTAATTATAAAACAAAATCTATAGTCACAGCCAGGCCTAGAGGTAGAGTCTGTACAACTAATCAACTTAAATTCCCTGGGTTCGATTTAATTACAAAACAACATTTGGTGCAGCTGCTAAACACTTACCAGGTGACCGACCACATGATATTATTGGCGCATTTAGAAGGATTCCAGCTTTTACTCTCATTCTATCAGCACAATTATATTTCAGTTATATAAATTTGAGCAGCCTCAGATTATAACAAGAATTTTCTTGATTTTATACACTCCCATAGTTGAGCCAGTTAAAATATTGAATTGCACTACAATTAACTAATGTCAGGAAGTAAAATGTAATGATAAAAGGGAAGTCCTGATAAAGAACAACACTAGCAAACTAAATGTCAACATCACACTTTTACCTCTCGAAATCATTTTTTTGTGGAGCAGATAAAGTGAAACAAAGCTCTGCATATTATGAGTTATCAATTTGCTTTTTCAACTGCAACATAAATTACTTTTCAATATTATTAGACATAGCTAACTCATTCTTTTCACTTGTTCTTTAGTGCTCTACACGAAATTCAGGAGGTGATTATGTTTCAAAATATTTTTACATGACAAAATTAAAAATAACCACTGATATTTAAAAAAAATAGCCAATTCCTGTAGGATATTTAAAATATACTCCATTTATACAAACATTTAAGAAGATTACTGCAATAAATGAGAACTGATTCCTTATTTCATAATGTTGTGGCAGAGGTTATATACATAATTAACTTTTTGTTTCAGCGTTTTGCTTCACGCAAAAATACTTTTTACAATTTGTGGGATCCTAGTTCCTTCCAAGGTCTATCAGAGAATAAAAAGCATTTCAATGGTGGGGGTGGGGGAGCAAGAATCAGTATCAGTAAGGCAATTATCAAGGATGCTAAAATATTTTTATAGCAACTCAAAAAATAATATGGAGTGCCATCTAATCCAAGTCAGGAATTGCGTAGGTGTATTAAGTAAAACATAATGCATTTGTTTTGCTGTCTTTTTCCTAGAAGTCAATCTCCTTTTTGTTTCTTTTTCTGTAGAGAACTGTATAAAAGCTAAAGAGAGGATAGACTGTATCATATATAATTATATGTACATAGAAAAAAGTAGAATACATCAAATTCATCATGAAATATCTGGAACAATAATTCCCTTCTTCACCTTCCAACATCAACTGCTGGTTCAAATTTTACCTTATGCTGTCCTGCATGACTAGCTTGGACCCCAGACAAAGGCAAGACAGTACATTCCAAAGTTGAAGGCTAATTTCTCAATACTAGCAATGCCTGTCAGTCTCACCCCAGAGAGTATCTTTTTCTACTGAACAGTGACTGGGTCACAAGAGGAAACAATTCTGCTTGGTGCAAGAAAATAGAATGGAAGGAATTATGATGGCTACCAGATGTTCCAGTGCCCCTGCGGGGGTACCAGAATGTTTCTGCATATGCTGTAAGCAGCATAAGCTGTCAAACATGGGACCCTCGGGCTTGGTGCTCATGTTGCCCTGATGTGCAGAGTCATAAGATTTGAGATGGAGAGTACCTGAAAAACGATCTTAGCCAGGGGCTTAAAACTATGTCTGGGGGAGTCCTATGTTTCTTAAATGTGACTCAGGGATTATAGAAGATTGCTCCTAAAACAGTAGCAGCACTCAGTAAGAATGTCAAAAATCTTACACCAGGGCTAAAAGCAAGACAGAATATTTATCAAGCAATAATCAGTTGTAAAAGTTCAATGTGATACCTGTGCTTCAGGAAAAGAACTGTGTGGAAGATTACCATTACACTGGCTCTGGGAAACCTAGAGGGAATGACCCTAGAGCTCAGAGGTTGATTCAGAAACTCGAGGCTGTGGTGGGTCTCTGGACTTGAGTTCAGACATCAAATTTTATCACTGACATATATACGTTATCAGATATTGGGGGAGCGGGAGGAGGTCCGAGAGTGTTGCTAGTATCAAGTCAATCAACCCTTACAACCCTTCTTTAGTCACATGCTCTTTTTATGACAAATACAAAATATCACTTAGAAAAATGATACTTTTCCTTGCTATGTTTAAATCTGTCAATTTAATGCATTATTGCCCTTAGGAAGACTTAATTCTCATTGTATGTTACCAGCTTTTCAAATTAGAAAAACACTGTGATTGCTTTAAGAACCTCTCCTCAATCACTATGGTGGGGGGGGGGAGAAGGAGAAGAGAGAGAGAGAGAGAGAGAGAGAGAGAGAAAGTAGGGGCAGGAGAGAGGAAGAGGAAGAGGCTGTGATCCAGGTGTTGCCAGCAGCTATTTCTGAGTTTGTAAAGGGAACTGGTTATGATGACAGAACATATGGGATTTTAACATAAAGTAAAGCACAGTATCTCCAGGGTTAAACAGACGTTCATAAGCAGGGTAGACACATCTGACTCACCATCACTGTTGATACACACGACCTCTTGAACTTGAGTGCCTGGACCACACTCTTTTCCATTATCTGGCTCACAGTCTCCGAGCCTCACTGCTTTCCAGTCATAGCAGGAGGGCTCTTCGCAGGGAATGGCTTCCAGTAAATGAGGGCAGTTCCCCGTGCCCCCAGAGCCTCCAGTGGGCTCATTGGTGATGCGACGCTTCCTCAATTTGAAACCTGAATTATGGGGGATGGAGAATATTTATTGTTGCCATTATGGATTGAATATTTCAGAAAACCGAGTGATGGTGAAAGCTGGATGAGAACAGAGGATAGATGGCATAGCTGCTTTAATCACGGACTTGTCCCCAAACTCTAGCCTAATGAGAGTGTAGGATAAATGAAACAGCATCAGGCTTTTCTGCCCTCCTGCCATTGGAATTGATGATGGATCCTTGAGGTCCCGAATGCATGCCTGATGGCGGGCACCTGGAGTAGGGTGTGGGCATATGTAGATGGGATTCACCTGGGCTGAGACTGGGCTTATAAGGGCTTCAGCAGAAGCAGAAGCACGAGAGCAGCAGAGACCACCAGAGAACACCTGAGAGCCCAGATAGAGTGAAGACTTGCTGCGGGCTGGGAGGCCTGCCAGCCTCCAGGCCCCCCGGCACCCCTGCCTGCCGTGTACCCAGCAAATCCCAATAAAAGCCTGACAAGCCAAACTGAGGGTTCCAGGACTCTCTCCTCCTTACCACGTCTGCTCAGATCATAGAAAACCTGCATTGTGCCCATTCCTGCCTCTACAGAGAGCTTATTAGTCATTTGCTAAATTAAAGACAAAAGAGGAACTTTAGATTTTAACATACTGTAAGGTCCAGCGATGGACACGGTGCAGGTTTTCCGATCCAGCAGACCGGGTAAAGTTGGAGTCAGAGTCCTCAGTGGCTTTCTGCAGGTCTTTATTGGGATTACCAGGTACACGGCAGGTAGGGGCGCTGGGGGGATAGGCTAGGCCTCCCCCCCAGCAGGTGCTCGGGGCTCTCGGCCTTCTCTTGGCTTCTGCTTCTCTCACTTCTCTCTCGGCTTTTCTTTAGGCTTCTGCTGGCGTCCCCGTGACACCACCCTTAAAAAGCCCAGTCTCAGCCCAGGTGAATCCCATCTACCTATGCCCACACCCTACTCCAGGTGCCTGCCATCAGGCATGCATTCAGGACCGCAAGGATCCATCATCTATCCTGATGGCGGGAGGGCAGAAAAGCCTGACATTTTTCCTTACCTACACATACTATACAGTAAAATAAGGCAAGAAATGATATCTTCCTTTTCCCACATTGGGCTGGGGAAGGGGGGGAGGAGGACGAGGGGATGGGGAAGGGAAGGAGGGAGAGGAAAAAGAGGAGAGAATTTTAGTTGATTTGAAAAATCTGTATTTAAAAATACTCCAAAAAATGATATCTCAATGTATTCAGAAAAATTCAGCACGACCACATGATTAAACTTGAAACCTCTGAAAAGTTGGTACTTTCAAGACAAACTGTCCCTTTGGGCCTCAATTAATTTTGGCCTGGAAATCTGAATCAGTAGCAAAACCACCTGAGTCCTATGGTGGAATAGTCAAAGTCCTGCTCTGTGCTTTAGGAGGACCTAAATGTTGCCCTTCCTGCAGTGTACACCAAAGTTAATGTCTGTTTATAAAATATATTAAAATTACGAGAAGACTGCTTGAAACAGAGTAAGAAATACCAGATAGTGTGAAAATGACCCTACAACACCCATCACACAGTAAATCATTGCATGTACTTTACTCCTCTGATTTGCATCAAAAAAGCAACAAAAAATTTACGTTATTTTTAAACAGAACAGATGCATATGGCTATTCAAAATAATAACAAGGTCTGTTTATTGGGCACTAGTTACAGGTCAGGCACTGAATTAAATTCTTTATGCTTATTATCTCACTGTATCTTTAGAGAAAACCTGGAGGGCGGCTATTGTTACATTTCTTTTACAGATAAGTTAACAAAATTTAGATAAGTTAATTAACTCCCCTAAATGGTATGGAATGAAATAGGATTTTCAATCCAGGTCAGTCTGACACTATAGCTCATCTTAACCATTGTACAAACTGCCTCAGATGTTCTCCATCTGTTGTCTAAATTAACAAGCATTTGGCCTACATTCTGCGGTTCTAATCTTCTGGTACTATCATGAGGCTAGTTTTATTCATCTTTTGCAATCAATACCATTAACCATTCTGGTAAATATCACAAACGAATAACCACAAGGAACAGAGAGCAGCGTTTTTTAAATAATTCATTGTTTTTTGACTCAATTGATGGGTGTTTCAAGCATGTCATGTTAATATAACATACCTTTTTTGCCTTGCTGATCATTACAGTTTTCATAAGTACAAGGTCCCCAGGCTGACCAAGGCGAAACCTCACATTCAATAGGGCAGGGAATCTGGCACAGTTGTGTAGTGTTAGGGACAGGCCCTGTGCATGATTTCAGGTCCACTGGTTTTGAAACTGTTGGAGAAAAATACAAAAATCCCTTAAGAATTAAACAAAAAGAAATTGTTATAGTCAACAGTATGATTTTTTCTATGTGTGGAGAAAGAAAACATTAAAAAATGCCAGTCAGACATTTCTGTGCATCTTTGTTACAGCCCGAGAATAAAAGGAGTAGGGAAAAAAAACAGCGTAAAGTAGTCAACAGAAAGTGGCATAGAAATTCTGCACATTATTTGATGATGACCTTTACCATAGTTTATCATATATTAACACTTCTCCTAATAATACTGAGCTTAGCTTTCCTACTGAATAAATCAGGTTAATTTTATCTCCAAAACACTTTAGTTAGATTCCAAGAAAGTAGAATGTGCTTCAGAGGACTCAATACAGTGCGGGGGGAGGGGAAAATAGCTTTAATATACATGGAAAGTGTCCATGAGTGGTTTCTGAAAGTCTTGAAAGTCTCCCCTCCCTTTTGATCTATAGAGATCTGAGATCTGGTGAATCTGAGGAAGAAAGAGCTCACACCGCCGAATGGGGCATTGCCATCTAACTCTAGCTGCCTAACTCACCAGATACTTTTCAGAACTTTTACAGTATATATTATGTGTAATACATAATCCAAATCTCAGAATCCAAATCTCATGCCTCAGTTGACCAGTGACCTATGGGTAAATATTGCTTGCCCTTGCTTCTCTATTTTGATGTCTATAGTTTGGTTGTTTGACAGTAAATATTAGGATGTGTCAACAATTTTGGTTAAAATCATTCAGTAAGAATGATATTTGAAGTAATATAAAAAGCAGAGAGAACCACCAATTTTAACTGTATATTATGCAATATACAATTATAGTTACTTTTGTTATAAAAATTTTAAGAAAGTAAATATCTTGGAAATGCATCATCTTTAGTAAAATGTAGTTCCTTTTTCCCTCTGACAATTTGAAATGCCCATATCTGTATCACAAAGGACTGAAATAATAGAGGTCTGATATAATTTTCACCTTCTTTATGTGAAAGGACTACAAATTCTAATGGCATGGGATTATATGTAGAACTTCATAAAGAAATTAAGTATTTTAAGAAGTGAAAATACTAAAGGTATGTTTGTATTTTATTTTTATTTTTCTTTTTAAAATTTTCTTTTATAAAAATGGGCAGAAGAGCTAAAAAGAAACTTCTCTGAAGAGGAAATGTGAGTGGCCAACAGGCATATGAAAAAATGTTCAACATCACTTGCAATCAGGGAAATGCAAATCAAAACTACCATGAAATATCATCTTATACCAGTGAGAATGGCACATATTAAAAAAACTAGCAACAACAAATGTTGGCGAGGTTGTGGAGAAAAAGGAACTCTTCTGCACTGTTGGTGGGAGTGCAGACTGGTCCAACCACTATGGAGAGCTCTGTGGAGATTTCTCGACCTACTAAACATAGAGCTTCCATATGATCCAGCAATTCCACTCCTAGGTATTTACCCAAAGGACACAGAAACATCAATTCCAAAGAGCACCTGCACCCCTATGTTTATAGCAGCACTATTTACAATAGCTAAGCTTTGGAAACAGCCCAAATGCCCAAAAATAGATGACTGGATCAAGAAGATGTGGTACATATACCATGGAATATTACTCAGCATTCAAAAAAGATAAACACATGCAATTTGCAGCAACATGGATGGCACTGGAAGGGATCATGCTCAGTGAAATAAGCCAGAAAGAAAAAGAAAAATACTGGATGGTCTCACTCATAGCAGGAATCTAGAAAACTTAAATAAGGGACCAGGAAAATGAATAACTATAAGAAAGTGAAAATCAAAATCAACAAAAAACTATGAACCAGAGACACTTTTTGGGGGGTGGGGGGCGGGAGGGGAGGGATTGGGGTCAGAATGGGGGGGTTGCAATTGTATGTGGAATATAAAAATAAAATTTATTATTTAAAAAAATAAAAAAAATAATAAAAATAATAAAATTTTCTTTTATATATTTTTACATCATTTTTCATTTTTGCACAATGTATGCATTTTCATCTTGGTTATAGTCTCCATACAATTCCACCTCCCCTTAGTTTGACTGTAATTCTTCCTACTCTTCCCTCCCCCCACCACAGTGTATCTCAGGTTTATAGTTGCTTGTTGTTTGATTTTTATTTTATTATAATTAGTCTTTTTCCTGTTCTCTTATTTAGGTTTCCTAAATTCCTGCTATGAGTGAGACCATCTGGTATTTTTCTTTTTCTTTCTGGCTTATTTCGCTGAGCATGATCCCATCCAGCTCCATCCATGTTGCTGCAAATTGCATGAGTTTATCTTTCTGGATTGCTGAGTAATATTCCATTGTGTATATGTACCACATCATCTTGATCCAGTCATCTATTTTTCGGCATTTGTGTTGTTTCCATAGCTTAGCTATTGTAAATAGTGCTGCTATAAACATACGGGTACAGAGCAATAAGACAAGAGAAAGACATACAAGGAATCCAAATAGGCAAGGAAGAAGTCAAACTATCACTATTTGCAGATGGTATGATAATATATATAGAGAACCCCAAAAACTTGACAGAAAAATGAATTAAACTAATCAGTTTAGTAAAGTGGCAGGATACAAAATCAACACACAAAAATCAGTAGCTTTCCTCTACACAAACAATAAATCTGAAGAAGAAATCAAAATAACCATCCCTTTTATTATTGAAACAAAAAAAAATCAAATACTTGGGAATAAACCTAACAAAAGAGGTAAAGGACCTATACAAAGAAAACCATAAAACACTGTTAAAAGAAATAGAAGAAGACATAAAGAAATGGAAAGACATCCCCTGCTCATGGATTGGAAGAATTAACATTATCAAAATGACCATCTACCAAAAGCAATTTACAGATTCAATGCTATTCCTATAAAAATTTCAATGACATTTTTCAAAGAAATAGAACAAATATTGATGAAATTCATATGGAGCCACAAAAAACCCCAAATAGCTACGGCTCTCCTAAAAAAAGAAAAGAGAAGGAAATGGAGGCATCACACTCCCAGACTTCCAACTATACTACAAAGCCATAATCATCAAAACTGCATGGTATTGGAACAAGAACAGACACACGGATCAATGGAACCAAATAGAAAAATCCAGTAATAAATCTGTGGATTTACAGTCAACTAATCATTGACAAAGGAGCAAAGAATAGGCAATAGAGCAAAGAAAGTTTGTTCAATAAATGGGGCTGGGAAAACTGGGTCGCTACATGTAAAAGATTGAAGCTTGATTACTACCTCACACCAGGCACAAAAAACAACTCAAAATGGATTAAAGAACTAGACATAAGACCTGAAACCATAAAATATATAGAAGGAAATATAGGCAAAAAACTACATGACACACACCTCAGTAACATCTTTAAAGACTCATCACCCAAAGCAGTGATAGTGAAGGCAAAGATAAACAGCTCAGACTACGTCAAATTAAAGAGCTGCTGTACAGCAAAAGAGATAGTATCCAAAACAAAGAAACACCCCACCTATTGGGAGAAAATTTTTGCACACAACACTAATGATAAAGGACTGATCACAAAAATCTACAGTGAGCTGAAGAGTCTCAACAAAAACAAAGTAAATAATCCAGTCAAAAAATGGGCAGAAAAGATAAAAAGGAACTTCTCCAAAGAGGAAATGTGAATTGCCAAGAGGCATATGAAAAAATGTTCAGTATCACTTGTAATCAGGGAAATGCAAATCAAAACTACAATGAGAAACCATCTTACACCAGTGAGAACGGCACATATTAAAAAAAACTAGCAACAACAAATGTTGGTGAGGATGTAGAGAAAAAGGAACTCTCCTGCACTGCTGGTGGGAGTGCAAACTGGTCCAACCACTATGAAAAGCTGTGTGGAGATTCCTTAACCTGCTAAAGATAGAGCTTCCATATGATCCAGCAATTCCACTCCTAGGTATTTACCCAAAGGACACAGAATCATATGTTTGTACTTTAAACTTTAAGGCAAACAGCAGGCTACATGTGCATTAGTCAAGTCTCTAAATATACAAATATACACAATCATAAATGCTACTTAAATATATTAACTCCTTTTATTGCCACAGTTTTTTAGTTCTGAAAATGTTCTACAGATTTTTTCTCTTAGGAGTATTTAAATTATCTTTCTTGTCTCCCAAATCTACTTTCTCCACACATGCTACAGTGAAAATAAATGATGGAACACTCCTAATTTGCTTAGAATGGAGCACTGGAACATTCTCACTGAAGTTTTATCATGATAGTTATTAATGTGCATCATAACATCAGCCAAAGCCAAAACTGATTAATTTTATGGCTTTCCAACAGTGAAAATTCTTGGTCTCCCACTGATGGAAAGAAAAGAAAGAAATCTTCATATCTCTGAAAATAAAAATAACCTTACATCAATGATACACATTTTACAGTAAAATGAATTATTTTTAATGGTACAGACATGTATTGTGATGGCTAACTTTATGTATTAACTTGACTGGGTTAAGGGATGTCCAGATGGTAAAACATTTTCTAAATGTGTCTGTGAAGATGTCTCTGGAAGATTAATATTTGAATTGGCAGACTGAGGAAAGACAGTCCTCAACATAAATGGTAGAGCCCAAACAGAACAAAAAGGTGAAGAATGAATTCTGGTTTGTTCTTGAGCTTGGATATCCATCTTGTCCTGCCTTTGACCATCAGAGCTCCTGGTTCTAGCAAAGCAAAGCCAAAAATCAGTGGCTCCACCCCCATAATCAATGAATCAATTCCTATAATAAATCTTCTGTCTGTCTCTCAGTCTGTCCATCTGTCCGTCCATCCATCCATCCATCCATCCATCCATCCATCCATCCATCCATCCTATTGTTTTGCTTCTTTGGAGAAACTAGACTTATAGATGTCTAGAGTACACAGAAAATCTCCCATAAAAGTGAAAATTAACATATGTAATTTCTTCACTCGTACACTCTTTTAGACTATCATTTAAATTAGTTGTGTGTAGA